ATAAACAGTACTGTGGTTGATTCACAGAAATAATATATTTAGAGGAACGACTTGAGTATAATTCACCTGTAAATCATATAATGCCTTCAAGAGATTCTTACTGGATGAAATAATAAAATTATAATTAAATAGTTAAATAATATAATTATGATTATTAAGATTAGTTTAATTTCTTTTCAGAATTTTCTAGTAAATTATTTTATTGAGTTGAATATTTTAGCTCTTAGTTAACCGCTTTAAGTATTTAAACCTTATTATTATCAAGTTACTTTAATTAGATTAAATTGAAAAATACTTCCATTGTTAAGTAATTATACTGAAAATTATAAAATATCATGTTTTAACTAACAATCATAAAAAATAATAATATTTTAAAGTCTTTCAAAAGTTGTTTAAAAAAAGCAAGTATTTAAAAATTTACTGTTTCGTTGATTTTAATTTAGTATGTGTAAAATATAAATTAATCGTATACCGTGTTTTATAGTATAGTATTAAAATAGTAATAAATATTTTAACCAAGTTAAATTATTTCATATAAATAATTACAATATGATGAATACGAAAATTATTTTATTATTTAAATATTATTTTTATATATTATTTGTGAGTCATCAAATATTATTAATTATTTAGACATTAGAGCCAAATTTGTTTCATTAATTTATCACTTCAAATACATAAAAATGCATAAAATATATTTGATTATATAATTCAATTAAATATAATAAAGTGAAATAATGATTATGAGAAATTACATTAGGGAATATTATATTTAAATTAGAATGTATTTATATTAATATAATATTTAATTATTTTTCAGACTATTTACAACATCATCAAAACTTTATATGTTTAATAGGAGAATTGATTAGCAATTTTTTTGTAAGTTAATAAAACAACATTAATTAATAACAAAATAAAAAATGTAATTCTTTTTGAAAATTCAAAATTATATTTTAAAACAATATATTTTTATCGTGTGTAGGTATCATATCTGAATTATTAAATATAATTATAAGATTAAAAAATTAAATATATATTCACTCTTATCATAAAATTTAATTTTCTATAAACTGCTTTTATCTACTCGTCAAAATAGAAATTTTTGTTATTTTGGCACGTTTGTTTTGAAAGTTTATCTGAAGCATATTGAAAGAATTCTTACTTAAAAGATTGAATTGAGTTAATACACAACGAAGCAGAGATTTTTATTAAATTGTACACAATCGAAACGATGAAGCTATCTTCGCAAGACCGATTATCTATCAAGAATTCAGTGGTGAGGGCAACTGCTCGATCGTCACACGTAGGTACGGTTGTCTGATCGACAAGTGCGCTCGTCATCTTTGAACTACTACATTGCTCCTTTTTTCTTTTTTTTCTTCTTTCTGTGATCACATTACGCAACGCTCCCGTGATTGAGAAGGAAAAAAATCGACAAAGGAAACTGCCGGTAGAAGAGATTTCTTTTTTCTCATGTAGGCCACACTTCGAAGGTATAGCACAATCCTGATGCGCGCCTGTTTGTGTATCGTGCCTTGAAAAAATATGCTCGTAACTGTTACGCTCATGCTTATCGTCGACAGAATAATATTTTCTTCGGTTTTGTTGTACGTTAACCGATGTTCTCGTGGTAGCAGTTATGAATTTTCTTCAAAAGATTTATCGACCGAGATATGGTTTTCTTGTTTTTTAATAGCTTGATTGATATAGAATTGAAGTTCAAATAAATAAAGCCCATACAAAAATATGTATAAAAGTTACATTTTTCTAAAGACTTATTAAAAATTCTGTAGAAATTCATGGAAATTTAATTACTTATTTTATTTTTTATTAATTTAAAGAGAAAAAAGTTATAATTCCAACGTTAAAAAACAACTATTTTTTATTATATTTGTTATTATATTATATTACATAAATTAACTATTTTTATAAACTGTTTATATTAACATCATTATTTATATGATTCGTAATATAATATTAGAATTGGTTCTTAAATTCATAGAATCCATGTCTAACAAAAATTTACAAATGAGCAGAACCGTATGTCTTTAATGGATAGTATATTCTATTGCTTTATATAAAATATCATATAAAATATATAATATGTTATTTTAAATATGGTTGACTATATAGGATTATTTTTTATTGAATTTGTACAAAATAGCTAATCTTATAATAATAATATTTTTAAATTCCGTTAAAAATTGATAGTTGGTTAAATATTATGAAATTAAAAATTAATCACAAGATTTTTAAATTAATTAATTCTTGTAGAATGTATATTCATATAAAGCAATTGAAATATAACAACAATTATGATAATATCTAGCATCATAAAAATAGTATAGAAATTAATGTTTTAACATATATATGTATATATATATATATTTTTTTTTTTATTATTATTATATTATTTGTTCTCTAATGGCATTTTTATTCTTATTTAAATATTATTATATTATTAATTTTTTTTAATTATTATATTATTACACTTATTAGTGTATCAGTGATTGTAAGCAATTCTAAGGAATAGCAAAATGTGGAAAAGTATTTTAATATTTTAAGATCATCTTTTTAACTTTCTATTTGATATTAGTAAATACTCCTGATTTTACTTTTATTTTAGAATGAATCAAAACGTTCAAGGAAAATAATTTTTTTTTAATTATAATGTTAGTTTCGGATTTTTATTAAAATATTTTATTGTTGATATATTATTATATAACACTTCTTAAGCAATAAAATAAATGTTGCATAAATTTCAAAATATAAATGAAATTGAATTACGGTTAAAAATACATGTACGCACGAGCACATATGCAAATACAGGGACAAGTATTATTTATATTTATATTTATTTAAATATTAATAATATTTTATTAAAGTTTGTGTATTTACATTAGTGATAATTTTATGAGTTTTAATCCAAAAAAGAGGAAGATAAAGAAAGAGATACAAATAGTGGCTCTACGCATTCAATTATAATTTACATTTACAAAGTGTAAAATGATATAAAGAGAAATCTAGGCTTAACCTAGCGAACCAAATAAAAAAAATCATGAAGGATGTATTTACTTATTTAGAGCTTTCAACCGCGTGCCTATTAAACAACACGGTTATATCGAGCATGAAACGGTACAGATAAACACTGGAGTTTGCGTGCCGAGCGAGGATAACTCGCTTGTGACAGGTAAAAGAAACGAGCAGATCTTAAACGCCCTATATCGTGCATCTTCGTCTTTTTTGTCAGCTAATAAAGAGGCTCCGTAGTCAGAATAATGCCTATATCCCAGTTCATTGTATTGTCGTGCGATGTGACAATTGAAAGATGCTCTGCGTAGCCAATGCACTTTGTGTGCTTTTATCGTTCGATAATATAATTTATTTTTCAATTGTATAACAGGAAGATTTCGGGGTTTAGAGCTATTGAGATGGTATCAAAAAACTTTTTTTTCGCCTCATCCTTACTTCGACAGCTACGTACCACTAAAAGTGATGTTCTATTTAAACTCTTTTGTATTTTCTATTATAAATTTTATTCGTGCATTTGTTGGTTTCTTAGCTTAATTACTTTTCTTTCTTTGTGTTGCTAATAATATTAATATTTCACGTTTTCATTTCAAAATTTAGGAATAATGATTCCTTAAACAACTTCTGTTCTTAATTTTAGCATTGATTTAATATATTTTTTAAAGTATAATACATATTATATTAAATGTCAATAATAGCAAAAAATTATACTACATGTATTAATAACAAAATAATCGAAAGATATATATTTATTAATTGGTCGCTATGAAGACACTCTACAGAGTAAACGAAGAATTTTCTTTCAAATACATGCATTTAGTCCTACTTTTTCTATTTAAAATTTATTACCATCTTTTTTTATGTTTTTAATTTTTGACAAAGTATATTAAATATAACAAATTAGTTTGTTAACATTAAACAATTCTTTAAATTCTTAAAATAAACAAAAATATGTTGTTATGAAATATTTAAATCTCTTAATTTATTGAAACATCAAATTTTATTAAGTTCTCTATTAAGTATCAAAGTTAAAAATAAATTCGAAATTCTAATTTCATTTAGTAAGATATGAAATTTCTATTTATCTTCTTAAAATTATATAATGTTGTCTTATCAAAATAAATAAATTATAGCAATTAAATTATTTTATGAACATCATTTCCCAAAAATTTTTCCCAAAAATTCCTATAAATTGACAAATGTTTATATCATTACCTTTAAGTTATATATCAAAAGATAGAATCCTGTGACTGTTACTAACATTAAGGTATCGAGCATGTTTTTTTCAAGTAAAAATGAAAAATATAATTTTTTAACTTACAGTATAAATTAGCAGTCTAAGCAACAACATCAAATATAATTCGCATGTATTTCTGGCGTCAGATCTTGCAATTTATAGCAGCGATATAAGATATTCTATCGTACTTTCCTTTCCATAAAAGTATATGCCCTTGCTTTTCTCAAATATATAGGTGCCGATGTATGCGCTATGCATCAAGAGGGATGACGACAGGAGAAAAATGCGTGCAAAAGTCGTAACTTCCTTTCATCGCCTCATCGTCCCTTTAATACGCATCGTATTGCAAGAGGAATGACGCGGGCGCGTCTCTTGGGGGTTGGGGTCGAAGAAACGCGCCTAATTCGAGCTGTTTACCCAAGCGTTCCCACTTAATTCATACGCGCTCTCTGTTGTTGCAGCTTAGCGAGCCGAAGCAAATTTATTATAAATTCTCCCCCCACTCACCTTCTCTTTAGTTCTGAACCCCGTCCCACAAATATGGTGCCTCAACATCATAAGCATTTACTTGAGGAAATCTTATCAAACTCGAAAACTTTCAAAATGCAAAACAGTAGCCTTTTGGAGTAAAATTTATAAACCTACTTCTGAAACTATGATCAATATCAAGTAGTGTAGTAGGGGGTGCTGAAAATCAGCGCAAAGGCTAGACATTTACGTGACTCATAAATCATCCGGAAGTTGTCAGTCTTCGGTTTATATTAAGAATTTCTGGAATCTCGGGGAACCTGTTTAAGATATACGGATATGTAGTGTTGGGATAAAATGATGCTTTATATTATTTGGGGATTGTATTTATATTTTTTATATTAAAAAAAGTATTTTACTCATATGATAAGTTATTGTAAAAGTGAAAGTTTTTTGAGAAATCAAAATGTACGTAAAACAATAGAAAATATTGAAGTTATAAATTAGTAAGAAATGTTGAAAAAAAATGTTATTTTATCCAAGTACAGAGATATACATAACATTTTTAATTTTATTATTGAAATATATACATATAATTTATTATGAATTATCATTTAAATAAATATTTTAAAATATATAAAATTTGAATTAATATAAAAAATTATGTAATAAGATATCTCTTCATTACAAAAAAAAGTAATATACAAAATTAATATGAACTATAATATTATAGAATATCTTGTAATAAATAAAATACATATAAAATATAAAATAATATAAAAATGTTATTAACAGTATTTTTCTTGTTTATGTAGTTGCTTATTATAATTTGAAATTTATTTTTTATTATTTAATATAATTAATTATGATTTAGATTTATTACATTTTAAACTCTATTGTAGATGAAGAAAATTAATATCACCAATAAAATATTTATTATGCTATCCATTTAAGAATTAATTGAAATAAGAAAGCATTGGTTTATATATAATTTTCTTAAAATTATAAAATTCATACTATAGATCTTAAAAAAAAAATTTTAAATGTCAATTCATTGTAATATTCATTGTATTCATGTTAAAACTAAAGCTTGTGAGATTTGTGAATTTTACCCACGAGATCAGAGTAAGTTCAAACACGTTATTCACGATGTAGGTTCGTTAAGCCATAGAACGAGTCACGACAATTCCATAAAGGAATGTTTATGCACGCCATTCGTGCCTGACATTTCCTGGCGCACTTTCGCCCTCCGACAGTTGGTATCAGAGAAGAAAGACAGGCGAAAAAAGAAGGAAGAGCAGAGAATAAGTTTTAGAGCCGACGTCCGTTCTCAAAAGTGCATCAGAGAGATTCGCGAAGCTGCGCGTCATTATTCCTCGATTCCTGGCGCTGTGTTTACTCCCGCACCTAAGACAACATTCAGCACACCCCTTAACGGGATACTGGACCTACTTGTCTTGGACTTTTGGAGCGATTTTCCCTTCTCACAGCTACTTCGCGCAGGTGCTTCAGTAAGACCTAATCGCTGAGTCGCCGAAGTGGTCTTTCGATGATGCAGAAGCACGAGCAACGCGCTTTTCCATCGCGTTTTATAATAATACGAGATGTTTTGTTCGAATGTCGAGTACTCGGTAAGACTGACAAAGCTTATGACAGCGCTTGCCTGTGATTTTTAGGGATTAGGTTACAAGAGAGGTATTGACATTTTTCAATCGAACATGACATTTCCTACGGGTGTGGATTTTTCAATAATTATAACTAACGTTCAAAAGTGTTGTAAGTTATTTATTCGACATATTGAATAAAATCATTTATTTCAATTAAAAATGTTAAAATACCGCTTAATTAATATAACATCTCAATCGGTACTACGAAATCGGATATCTTATTTTTAAATAAATTTTTTAATAATGTAATTAAATAGTCTTTTATTATATCTGATTCATTTAGCTGAAAATATCTTCATAGATATACTTACTAATAGATAGAGTAAAAAAATCAATCCACTAAGCTCTGCTATAGTTAATCATTATCTATAAATATAATTATTAAAACTTTTTATTTCGTTATAAAATAATATAGACAATAAAAAAAAGTAATTTCAAAGAGTAATAAAGGATGTTGTATTATACGAAATTACTAACTAGACATAGACTAGAATAAGAAAAACGAAAAATATTGAGTTTCACATAAGAAGACATGGAACGTCTTACGAGAATGAAGCGTAAGACAAGACGTAACCTACCGCCGCGACGTATTTCGTGGAACTTCTCCACCACACACATGTTGTATGTTTAGTACTTCTTTTCTCCCCATGTGTAAATGAAAAGGAGAAGAAAAGTCGATGGGAAAAAAGGAATTTTCAAAATGTCTATTGTGAAATAATTTATTTTCGAATATTAACTATATATATATATATATATGTATTTATATTTATGTATGTGTATGATATGAATGTGTAAGTATGCATGTATTACTCTATATATATATATATATATACATATAAGCGCGCGCGCGCGCGTGTGTGTATTGTGTTTTACGTTTGTATGAATGTTCATTTGTATTAATAAAATATAGTATTTTTCGTTTTATTTTTCATAAACAATATAAATCGATATATATGATCCTCACTGTATTGATTCTTGACATAACTTCATTTAAATATTCAAACATGAGTCAGGATATGCAAATTTGAAAATATTATTTGAAAATATTAATGTAATCATGAAACATTATCATGTATACAGAAAATCAAAAATACTTTTTGTCACCTTTATTAAAAACTTTATACAAATAGTAATCCAATGCACTATCTACGAGCTAAAACTACCTTTTTCCTCTTTCGTGATATAAACAAAAATCGATAGAGAGATCGTTATAAAAAAGACGAGCGTTAAAATGAGATGGACTAAAAGCAATGGTGCACTCAATGTGTAAATCGGTTTAACTCATTCTCGCTGATTTGGCCTCAACCGCGTATCTGTGCTTCCCCGTAAAATAACAACAGCCTCGTTTCCATGCAGACATTGAGTGTTTTTGAGAGAGCTCTGAGCACAAACCTACCATACACATATAGCAATGTTCGATGTCAATTCGCCGAAATCTCATTAAAAATACTTCCCATATGCTCATTTGCATTCATTTTCGCCGAAATCTCATTAAAAATACTTCCCATATGCTCATTTGCAATTTTTGCGAATGTACCTTCTAGTTAATCATTTCTATACGCAGTTTATTGTAAAACATATTTTTTACAATTAAACATAAATCTTATGTTGTATTTTATTGATTAAGAATCTCATTTCGATACAGTCTATTTTTACTACTGATTCTTTTTCATTTTGTATTCTTTTTATTTATTTATTTATTTATTCTATATCTCATTCATTTCATACACTATTCATTTTCATTTTGATTTACAAATAAATATTATATATTTTAAATATTCATTCTTTATTTGCTGAAAATGCACTATACAGAATTTATTTATAAAAGTAAATGAGTTATTGTTTCGATTTATTGAGGTATAATTTGAATAATTGAATCTTACAATGTATTAATACTTTGTTGCAATTAGTTTATACTAACAAAAATAAAAATATATAAACTTACTATTTTGTAAATTAAATATTATAAATAATTTAAAAAATAATCAATAATAGACATTTAAATATAAAATTAATATTCCAAATTTAGAGTAAAATAATAACTTTTTCAAGTAAGTTTCATATCAGATAGTATAAAATTCTGAACTAAAAAATAAAAGAAATATAAAATAAATAGTAAATTTTAAATATTCATAACAATAAAATATAACTTATTGATAACACTATTAGAATATATACTATTAACATGTATTCAGAAATTACGAGTTTATTCAAAAAGAGTGGCATAATAAGACATGTAACATAGATATATAAGACTATTACATCAATTTAAACCTGATTATCGTAGTGGCCCAAATTGAAAAACGATTATGTACCAAACGACCTAATTATACGTGCAAGAGATGGTTCGAGGTGTACGCACTGATGTATTAAAACCAAAGTAAACAAAGAATAGCACCAAGGGCAACCGAACGAGAAAGAGAAAGGAATAGAACAAGAGAGAGAGAATCTGCAGGGAGAAGGAACGTGCGCGTACTGTTTGTTCAGCCGCAACTTCTCCAAATCTTTTGTGATGTGCTTGGACTGTTCTGCCGAGGGTTGTAGTCCCGCTATGGCGATAAGTAGATACGCCCGGCTAACGCTGAGAATAGACTAAGATCCACCGCGAAAAGGCTACTGAGAATCTTTCTTGTAAATAATTCGGCTTTTAGCTTTTCTCTAGCCTCCGTCTTTTTCTTTTCTTTCCACAATTTCCTTTCTTTTTAAAGGAATTGAACTTTTATAGATCTTCATTCTACCTCAAAACTGGCTATATAATAAAGCTTTCTATCCTAATTTCCTGCATTTCGCTTTAATAATTTAATTATTATGATCTTTTTACAATAAAAATAATAGTTTTATAATTGTCATATTGATATAATTAAATTAACACAGGAAAAATTATTTTTCAGAAACTACATTATTTATCGAAGTATAAACAATATATTTAATACTATATTTTCAATCGTTTATAACTACAGAAATATTGTGTAACCTATAAAATTGTGTAACCTATAACTTATTCTTTAAAGTTCATTAATAGTTAAAAGACAAAACTATTCGTAAATATTTCTAAATAAATCTGTAAATATTTTTAATTATATCAATATGTAATAAAAATTGTCAACTATTTTTATAGAAATTAACAAAATAATGCTAATTATTTAATAATCTAATTATTAAATAATATGCTTTATATTTTAATAACTTTTTGGTTTTTCTTTTTTTCTTCAAATTTTTAATATTTAAATTGATTTAAACATGATATAAGTTATTAATTCTTGAAAAGATAAAAGAAAAGAAAATTTTATTAATATCCGAATTCACTGCAAATGGATTATGATACATTTTTATATACTCATACATACAATTTGTATGAGTATAATAAATTATAGTATAATAAATTTGAATTCTTGTAAATTATGAGTTTTTCTACAAAAACTGCATTTTTATTCGCTGATATACAAGTTCATTAGTAAAATTTTATTAGTAAAATATTTTTTAGTAGTATTTCATTAGTAAAACTTCCGAAGTAAGATCTATGAAAATGAATTACACGTTATTTATTTTATATTATTGTAAGACTCATTTTACAATTTAATATAAATTTATAGAATTGCAATGATTTGTATTATTTTTCAATTTTGAAACTTGTTATAATCTCAATATATATAATTGTCGTTGACTTAAACATTTTGTTGAAATACCCAATTGATTCAATTTGTAAAAATATAATATATTTAAACAATCCATAAATGCTTTTAACTTTTATAAACTTAATTTTAAAATGGTTAATTACTTTACGTAAGCTAAAATTATATTCTAAATATGTAAGAATTATAGCATTTTTATTTCGAAATCGTAATAATTTTTTATACTAATTTTAAATATTTTTTCATAATATAAATATTTTGATGTATTTTACTCAAGGTTTTTATCTTCAAACACTTCATTTTAAGTAAATTTTCATCCATTCCGAATGAATCATAAAATTTAAATCGCTCGGTATAAATATACGTTTGATTTACTTAAAGTAAATTTCTATTCTGTATAAAACCATTTTGATATATAACAAATAATTTCTCTATCAATAGAGTAAATTAAATATGAAATACTTTATTCTTAAAATATGAAACGTTAAAAGGGTTTAATTTTTTTAGTTTTGGAAATGTCATATTTTAAATTTGCAGCAAATTAAATAATTATTTGAATATAATTAAAAAAATGGAACTTTTATATTTATATTTTTTATAAACGTGCGTCGGAAGTAAATATACTGTAAATTTAGATACTGTAAATAATTTTTTGCAATTAAATGTTTCTAATAGGATAAGGTTTTCACCTGTATTTAAAAAATAATTTATTTGTCTATATAAAATGAACTTTTGACATCTTAAACTGTAGAAATTCATTATTCGAAATTCAAAACTTAGTAAAAATTATAAATTTTTCATTATTATTATATAACTTTCAAACATTCCTATATTTAATCAAAATTATATATATATTTATGTATTGTAATAAAATATAATTTTATATAAGTAATTCGCATTTTAATAGAAATTTTCAATTCTATTTATCTAGTAAAATAAGAGGTACTTACTTTTTCATTTCTAACATAGCTAATCAGTGTAACTAAAAATGTAAGTATGTGTTTTTATAGAAAATTTTAAATACTAATTACAAAGCAACACAATGAGACTTAGCGGTCTATTCTTTTAAAAACTTATATATGCACATTTTAGCACAAATAGAAAAAATTAGGCGTAATGAACAACTAATATAGCTAAATATATATAAGCTTATTGCATGTACACTAATAATCAAAGATGATTATTGCTTGATTTTAAAATTTGGAATTTATTTAATTGCAACAACTATTTAAAGTAATAGATATATTGATTGAACATAGGAGAAGAACAATTGTCTGAATAGACTAGAGTTGGAAACTCATCTGATACTAATATAAAATCAGTTAAAATATGAATTAATTTTGTTTACATTCCTACTATAAGAATATGTCTACATTGTTTCCAAATTTATCTAAATCTAGTCTTATATAATGTAGCAAATTTTCAAATATTCAGTACCAATTAAAAAATATATATAAGTTATCACAAATAGTTATCGGAATAATAACTATTTATCTTTATTATAATAATTGAAGGAATATTTTATATAATTCATGCTAAGTGAAGTTTATTTAAAATTTTTTATTACTGATGTAGACATCGGCTTTTCGAAGTTATGATATTTGTATTGATAGTAAAATATTATTGCTTATATAAAAATTATATACAAAAATTATATGATTTGACAAATATAAAATAGAAAATTATTCTTAAAATCAAAAGTAATATATATATATATATATATATATATATATATATATATATATTATATATCTATTTATTTATTTATTTATTTATTTATCCAGGAGAATATCTTAAATGATGAGACATTGACTTACTTAGTGTTTCATTCTTTAGTATCATTATTTGTTTTCTCTCGAGTACTTGAACCGAATAATACAACTAATTTCAAATGTTTGCTTAGCAAGCATTTAAAGTTTGTCTTGGCTGTAACTGGGTGTCTTTTAGATAGAGGATCTGTGTTCCGATCAAAGGAAACATAGCGTATTATATACACCAATGAACAATTCGGAGCCAAGGTAATAAGGTGTCAACAACGATATAATGCTTTTTATACTGCCTCGGATCCACGTTTAGTTGAGTATATTCGAGAACAGTCAATATTATTTGTGGAAATCTAGCTTTGAATTTATTAAAAAATTGCATACCATAATAGTATCCATTAAATAATTATTATTTACTCTTACAGTTAAAAAGGAAATTTATCTGCAAATATCTGCAACAATTCTCTACATATTTTGACAAATACTGTGTATTTGTTGTTTGTTCTGATTTATGATTCATTTGTATGTTTGTTCTGATACATACAATGTAAAATAATTATATAAATATACTTTCAGTAATAATTTACAATTTCTATTCACAAATTTAAAATTAAAACTATTATTATAAAAAATATATAGAACTGTATTTTTAAAAAATATTGAAACTCTCATTAGATATTTTATTAAAATTCTCAGTTCAATTTAATAGTAAATTATTTTCTTTTTTAATATATATTAAAATTCATAATATTAAAAATTGAAATAAACTTAGAATACATTATAATAGGTAATTAAATTATATCCATATATTTTTTAATGGTTGTAGAAAATTAAACTAAATTAAAAAGTGCAAATAATCAATTCTTTGTTATATATGTACTGCAACGTTTATATTTAAATTCTTAAATGAAAAAATATTTTATATATACAAAGAAGTAGAAATTACAAAATTTATATTTTGACATTTTACGTAATCTATTCTAAAATGTACAATGCATTTTTTAAAAATAATTCGATTAGAAATGACTATGGCATTATACAATGTATTTTTTCATTTCACAAAATACTTTTTAAAAAAGTACACTTAAAAATAGTACAATTTTACATTTTTATTTAAAAAATATAGAGAAAATAGCCTTAAATGAATTAAATGTTAATAAATAAATTGTATTGAAAACCATAGCGTTGTGGTTTTTAAATTTTAGAGAATTTGAAAATATAATTAAAATATGTATGACTGAATTAAATTGTAAAGCAATGCATTACCATTCAATCAAATTTTTATTTAATACTAGGATATAAAATCAAAGCATAATTAAAAAATGTATAGAATATTAATGAATTTATTTATATATATATTATTACTTCTCTCTCTCTCTCTCTCTCTCTATATATATATATATTATTACGTCACATAAATACATATAATTAATATTCATGATAATAAAAATGAAGATCCCATAAAACCAAATTATTATCTCAATAACAATATTTTTAAAATTATACTAATTATTTATCCAAAATGTAATATATTAAATAGTTAAAAATTAAAACAATTATTTATTTTTTTGGATAACCAAATTTTTTCATTTCGTCAAATAAAACAAGCAGGGAATCCATAGTTTCTTGGCAATTTGGAATTATCTGCTCTGGCGGCATTAGATATCCATATTCGCCCGTATCACGCAATAGATAACTATAAGACAATTGGACTTTTAATTCACCCTTCATCCAATCCATAGATGATCCAGGAAGAACAGCTTGAAAATAAAAAGTTTTAAAATGATTATTTAATTATTTTATTGAAAATATATTTTTAATAATCGAATTCAATGTAATATTATAATATTGCTTTTATATATATAATAATTTAATTTCAAATAAATAATATAAAAAAATTATAATTAATTGTTAAAATTTTAAAATATATTTTATATTTTATAAATTTAATATAAATATAACAAAAATTAACCATAATACATTAAAACGTTATTACATCAAAATTATGATATATAATAAATTATAATAAATAAATCTAAAAATTTTTTTCGTAATTATATATATATATATATATTTATAATGTAATTTATAGATCGTATGTATTATAAATATAATATATATGTGTTATATATACGTTATATAAATTAAATGGTTTTACACATATTAGATGAAGGTAAACAATAGTTTAATTTCCATATTAGATAGGTAAGTTTTTTTTCACTTACTAAAGGCTTCAGCGAAGTTTCCAACAATGAATTTGGTACCGTATCTTTTAGAAATGGCATTAGCAGCTTTCTGTCCAATCGAAATCTATAAAATAACTTATGTTAGATACTTATTAACCAACATCAATTCTTAATTTTTAATAAATAAATAAGAAAGCTTTTACAGCATCTTCATAGTTATCCATGCGCTCAGATGAATATCCATATGGAATCACAAGACGTTGACCAAGATTATGAAAAGTTATATAGCAAAATATTTTTGATGAAATGGATTTGATGTACTCAGAAAATGTTATCGCTTCAATTTCGGTAAAGGCTTTGGTTCCTCCATAAAATGTATAGCATTCACAATTTGGTATTGTACATGCTTTCAAAGACAAAAGGAAAATAAATTTAGAAAAATCTATCATTTTGTGACTCGATATATAATTATTTTAAAATGTTCCTGTTTCTAAGTGAAAGTCATATATATTTATTTAAAATATTTACTTCAACTATAAAGGTAGCAAACATATAATCAAAATCGTATAAATTTTCATAAAAACAGTGATATTTTTAAAATCATTTTGGTTGAATATAAAATAATAATAAATTCAATAAAAAAGCATATTTATCTTTAATTATACAAAGATTAAATTCATAAAAATTTTAATAAATTAATTTGATTTATTCATAATAATTAACGTAAATCCTCTTTAATGGTAAAAATTTAATACAATTTATATAATAATATTAAAAGAAAGAAATTAAATCTGTTAAAGTAAGAAATAAATAATTTTACTTTATAAATTATAAATTACAAATACACAATCATTTCTTTTGCCAAAATCATATTAAGTGATGTTCAAATTTTACATACGACTTAAGATAATAATTTATTCAGTTGAATTAATTAATTAATTAAATAATTAATTAATCTTAACGGACTATTCGAAATTTGATGCTGAATAATGTAATGTAATAAAATATTTCTAATAATATTTAAACTACTTTGTTATATGAATAATTTTAAAGTAATATGAAATTTAAATTAAAAAATAATTAATACTGTTTTAACTTACGGGCCCATTTATAACCCCAGTTTCGATTGAGATCAACACCAATGCATTTACTTTTACCTTGTGAAACAGTTTTACGCCAAAGCCGATCCTATACAAAAATTATAAAAATTGCATTAGAATTCAAAGAACATAAAACCATTATCACACAATGTATTTTGAAATTATAATTTATTTTTTATTGTTAAGTTAATCATTAAAAAATTTTTAATTGATTTTATAAATTAATGAAAATTAACTTACCGTTGTATGAGAATATACATAACCATCAGCATTTAGAGATGGAAAGATATACCAATCAAAAGTTTCAGCTAATTTACGAATTTCTGTGTCTTTACTATTCAAAAATTCGTTGATTATATAAGTTGTGGTGGCTGGTGATAGCCATTCATTGGGATGCATACCGCTCTCTAGTACAACGCCAGGATTATTTTTTTTAAATGATATTTTGATACCTTTAATTTGTCTACCCTCGTATGTACGTCCGGCAATAATGATTTCAGCTTTTCCTGGATACTTTTTCGAAAGATTATCAAGCCAATTATTAATTTCATCTAATGTGTGATAACGTGTCCAGTCGAATTTATTTTTGTCTCCCACTTTTTTGGATTGACTATCAATTACAGCTTGCACATCATTCATTGTAATTTTATATTTAATGTTAGATGCCTTCATTACTGTCTCGATTTCTTGTACTTTATTAGGTGGAACTAATAATGACATTGGATGAACAACATTCCAAGGCAAATACTTTAATTTAAAACATAAAGTTATTATTAAATTCTTTTCTTAATCATCTATGAAATCTAACGAAAACCGAACTGTCTTTGTAATTTTACTGTAGGTAGTATGAATATAAATATAATTTATAAATAATTGAAATTTTTCCCTATTCTGTTTTGATTGTTATTTTCTAACTAATTCATAAATAATATATGATACTAATTAATTATTGAATATTATAAATCAATATTAAAATTAATATTTTTATGTGCTTACCTGACTATCTGAGTAAATTAATTTTAAAATCACAGCTTTATGTTCATTTGTTGATGTCTCAAATGTATAAACTTTGTAATTTTTATAAGAAACTTTTTGAGCGTTTAGACTGCTTATAATAATTGTTGCTATCAAAAAATAGACTCCTTGTTGAAACATCTTAACTCTTGAAATTTATATTTGATTATTTATTCATAAACAATTAATAAAATTATATATAAATATATATATATTTCGATGAAAAATATTTTTGAATAAAAATTAAAATTAGCTATAAATTAAAGTGCTGTAATTTTGTAGATGATAAACGTGCCAATTATAATTCTCTGTATGATGTTTAAAATGAATATTTAAATTATTATAAAAGCGCTAAGAAACATTTTTAAATTACAGATATTTTGTATTTACTATTTAAATTTTTAATTTATTACATCAATGAGAATTGATTTATATTTAACTTTTTATATTTAACTCGTGCATACAAAAATAATAAAATATACCAAACTTAAGAAATTCAGCTGACTTAGATAAGATATATATTCATCAATATTATATATTGTATTTTTAATTATATATTAGATATTAAATCAAGTATAATTGTCGTTAAACAATAATCTCTATTATATTTAGATAAATTGTCATAGAAATTTAAAAAATTTAATAAATTTAATTTTAACTAAAATTCATCGTTAATTATATAACTTTTTTAGTATTGAAGCTCTATTGAAATTAAAACTATTTTATATCATATTCATTGTATAAATAAACAAAATAAATAATTTAAAAAAATATTTTATTTCCTTTTTATAAACAGGTCTTTTATAATCTTCAAAATTGTTTGCAAACATAAGCTTTTCTTAACTTCATAAGCTAATTAATTATGAATAAAAATAATTTATTTGATTATATATATTGTATGTTTCGAAGAGAATTAATGTTCATTTTAGCTTTTACATCAAATACATTGTTCGTAAAGAATATTTAAATATATATTTTGAAAAATCCAATAATTAAAGATATTATTAGTATTGATTCTATTGTATCGTAAATTTATTATCTTTGATACGTATAATTCATATGTATTATATCAAAATTCAAACAAATGAAATAAAATCGGCACCATTGATATTGCATATTTAAATATATTAACATACTTATTAAATTATATCTTTACATCATGACAGTATAAAAGTAAAAAATCTAGTATTTAGATTGATAGAATATAAAATACTAAATATGAAATAATTACGTAAACGATTAAAATAGAGAAAATACTACTTAATTAATTTTATTGATTCAATTATTTCATTACTTAATAAATTGTATTGCCTATTATATGATTAATATCAATTCAAATTATCTCTAGGAAACTGCTTTAATGTATTTGTATTAAGAAATAAATATCGCAAATTTAATTAAAAGAGCTTATTTAAATTAAATTATTTACATAGCAAGAGTTTAATATTTATATCATCTATTACTTCATTTCTTTTATACAGTTTGTCTCTGATCTGGCTATATGAAACGTCACTTATTATATTTTATTATATTTAAATATTATTTACGATTAAAGATTTGACATACAACTATTATTACGAGTTACTGAATATGATAATGATAATATCTTATATGGAACTATTCTGTCTTTATATGCTGTAATCTTTGTTAGACGCAATACGAAATGTCTTTCATAATATAATTTTTAATTTTTTAAATAATTATATATTGTATTACAATTGTCACAAATTTAAATGTTATAAGTATTATTAGAAGACTGACGATGGTAGGAGGGTTAGATTTAACTTTTTTATTTTTATTAATTTAATTAAAAATATAAAATTGCAATTAAAAATATTGATTTGACAACTTTTTTTATATTTTCATAATTTTTGAATGAATAATATTAATATATTAATATTGAATCAAGAACCATAAACATAATTTCAGACAATTTGGACAAAATAAACCAAGTGTGAAAAAATATATATAAAAAGCATAGAATATTGAATAGAATATAGAAATATAAATTCAAATTACAAATATTTATAATTAAAAATATAAATTTTTATAAAACATACATATGCAATTCATTAGTGTAAAATTAATATTAACATATATTTGGTAATACATATTAAAATTTTGAAAAATATGAATATGAATTATTAATAGCACAAAATTTATAATAATATATATAGTTTGAAAAAATTAAATAATACAGGTTAATTACAAATTATATTTATGAATATATTATAAAATATATTATGGAATATATGACACCAATAATTTAAATTTTTTTATACCAAATAGAACTTTTAAAACTAAATTTAGACTATTTTAATACAATAAAAATTATGATAATTATATTAGAATAAAAATAATAATTACTAATTATTAAATATCTATTAAAAATTTATAAAATTTGATAATTTCTAAGAAAAAATTGATTATTTTTATATACTGAACATATACTATTCTCTAATATTTTCAATTTGTGATATACTTACTAATTTTCTATGCAAATGTGTAGAAATTCACAATCATATGACTTTAGTATACGATACATAACAAAATAATAAAAAGAATTATTACTATATTGTGTTTTATTATTGTATATACAATAGAGCCATTTATAAGCAAATTTTATGTTATCATTTCATAATAAAAACAACTAGGTAATTTATGTACATACACGTAATTTCTACTTACAATAAAACAAATTATAGATTATATTTTTGCTTAAAATGAGTAATTATATCTGTATTTATTGTTTTCGTAATGATAAATTTCACAGAATTATGTTTATTTCATTTGGAAAGAATATGTTAACTATTCGTTATATACTTTTCGAAAAGCGTTAATTCTTTTCTTTGTTCTCTATATGCATTATACAAAATCATAATATGTATTAATATTGATAATATTTTATTTCTTATTATTTAAGAACTATTTTTGTATTTATTAAAAATAATATAATATGCTTTTATTATAGAATAATTATGAAGTCTATTTTTTATTTAGTTAATGCATTTATTATATGCAATATACAATATAAAATATATAAAGCAAAAACAAATTGATAAAAATAATAGATATAATATCTACACAATTTCATTAAAAAATATAGTTATAAATAGAATATAATTATATCAAAATTCATTAGTATTATATTTATTATTTTAGTTAGAAGGAGTTAAAATAATGAATGATAATTAATTTATTCAAGCATCAAAATGGAAAGTATTTTTTTTTTACTATCCTAATTTTATTATAGAAGTATTTAAATACTTTTTAAAATGATTTTTTCTATTTTTTTATTTACTTCTTAAAATTTAAAATACAAATAACTTAAAAAATAGCTAAAATATTGTAATATCTAAAATATATTATATTGTATATAAACAAAATATATATTATATATATATTATCACACTAAATAAGACATAATAAAAAGAATTAATAATTAGACTACTGGTCACATTTATTTATTAGAAAATATTCAATATAAATTAAAATTATTAAAATCATTATTAATAATTTAGTATTATAAATTATACATAAAAAGATTGACTGTATAAATCTTTAATACATATTTCAATATTATAGAAATATATATATGAATTTTCATACTATGAAATTAAAATAGAAATTAAAATGATTAAATATACTTTCAAAATATTATTAATTAAAATAAGCCTTTCATATATATTCAATTTGTAAAATAATTAGTATAGCTTTGTTTTAAACTTATGTTTTTAAATTTATTCTTAATTTTTTTAATTAAAATTTTATGTATAATTTAATTTCACAAAGTATGTTACAGTACCTATTTGTTAAATTATCTAAAATGCAATAAGTAAGTTATTATATAATTTTATATAATACTAGTTGTAGTTTTGTACCTTCACAAAATTGTAAAAACGGAATTCATTCTTTACTGAACGATACATATTTCTGACCGAATATCGAAAAATATTTTATTAATGAACTAAATAGTATTTATATTTATATTTATAAATGTTATATAAATAATTGAAATACTGATTATACATTCTAATCGGCGAGTTGGCTTATTTTAATGCCATAAATGTACGTAAATCAAATTTAATCAAATTTAATTACAAAATTGTGAATATACCATGATATTAATAGATTGATAAAATTTAATTGCATATTGTTTTTCGATTATAAAACATAAACTTCTTTATATTAAAAGATTACTAGAATTACGATATAAATTAAAAATAAGATTACTATTGTTTTTCATTTAAAATATTCTAAAAATACATCAATTCTCATTTATATTTTCAAGGATTAACATGTTCTTGAAAATTCTAAATGCAAACATAATCTATATGAAAATATAGATTTAATATTTGTAATATTTTCAAATTGACTATTTTTTAAGTAAATATAAATTAAAAATCGATATTAAATAAATTTAATTCATTAAATTCTTTTAAAAGATTTTATTGTCTTTGAAAATAATATATTATAAATAAAAGATAAATTATTTTATAATTAATTATAATTAAAGCTAATTCCAAAGCTTTTTAATTCAAAATATCTTATTATTTATTTACTTAATTTTTATGTTTTTAAGTTCATATTAGGTTTGTTAAATTTTCTGAAGTAATTTCTTTATATAATTGTAAACTTACTTTAAAGTTTCAATACATCCATGGATACCTTATACCAAATTTGTTTAGACAAAACTGAGCATAATAAATATATTATAAACATTTATACTATTATTATATAATAACATTACGTATATATCCTATAATATTTATGCATTATCGATAGAAGACATTTTTGAATATTTATACATTTATATATGTTCATCGATTATTTAAAGTATGGTTTCAAATTGTTTTCATTTAAGAAGTAGAAAGTATAATACGAAAAACTTTATTTATATCAATATTAGTAAAAATCACGCATTCAACCATTTTACTGGTTTTATTATTATAAACTTTTTGATATATATTTCTATTCTATAGAAAATTCTATTTCTAGGTTGTTGTTTAGTCTTCAACTAGTACATGTATAGTATAATCTTATGGTTAGGTCTATGCATGCTTGTATAACATCTAATTCCAGCTATTATTACATGAATGTCTGAATGTTTTATGTAAATTATAAGAAACTAATGTTGCATA